TAAAACCAACCTCCCTTGCTTGGCTCATCTGAATACTTACTCTATTTTATGGAATGAAGTGTTGCCCAACTCTAGAAACAAGAAGAAGAAGAAGAAAAAAAAATGTTTCCTAAGTCAAACTCACTGTCACTAGGGTAGAACCAGAAGACCAACTGTGGACAGTTAGCAAAACCCCATGTTAAATAACAGGGATCAGTAAGGCAGAGAGCTGAAGAAATTGGCTCACTCTGTACAGGAGTGGCAGCATAGAAATCAAAAGCATAATCCTTGGAGTCAGCCTCCCCCAGCTCTGCCCGCTCTAGTAGGTTTGATAACCTTGGCCACAGTATCAAACCTGGAAGCTTCAGTTCTCTCATCTGTAAAATGGGTTTATTTGGAAGAGCACATGAAATAACATAAAGCAATTTCCTAGCACATCCCTGACCCCATTATAGAGCTCAAAAAATAGGAGGCATTTCTGTAATTTAAGGACTTGTTATTTAAGGATCCATGGTCACTTCTGAATTGACAGTTGTCACATTGCAAGAGCTCCTAGAAGGGAGGTTGTGGCACTGCATGCTCTCCACTTCTGTCAAAGTCACAGTTCATCATCTGCATCACAAAGACTTAATTTACTTATTGGTACTGGGGATTAAACCTAGTGCCCAGTACTCAGGGATCTCTATGAGCTATGTTCCTAGTTCTTGTAATTTTTTGAGACAGGATATCACTGAGTTGCTGAGGTTGACCTTGACCTTGTGATTCTCCTGCCTCAGCTTCTGGATTAGCCAGGATTCCAGATGTGCACCATCAAACCCAATACAGACTGTTTTGAAGAACAAATTAATTCTTCTTCCTTAAAATCAATAGCCTTCTCCATACTGAATGTTCTATCAAATGCCATTGTATTCAGCCGGTGCCCATAACACCTGCTGTTGAAGCATTGTAAACTTGACTCTTTCCAACGACTTAAAAGCTGAAAACTCATTTTCCAAGCTAAATTAGCTAAACAAGAGTTTTATATGAAGACAATAGGAAACCACTCGTTTCAGCTCAGATCTTGTTTCTTTCCTGTGTGTGGCTCTGGGCACTAAACCCAGGGCCTCACACATGCTAAGCAACGGTGCTACCACTGAGCTACAATCCCTAGCTCTGTTTTTTTTTTTTTTTTTTTGGTACTGGGGATTGAACTGAGGGGCACTTAACCACGATGCCACAGCCTTGGCACCCCACCTTTTAAATTATTTGTATATAGTTGTAGACAGCAAGTCTTTAGTTTATTTATTTGCTTTTTACGTGGTGCTGACAATCGAACACCTGCAGCCAGAAGGGACTTTAAAAATGTTTAGCCTTCCTTAGTCAAGGGCAGTGGGGCATGACTGCAGTTCTAGAGGCTCAGGAGGCTGAGGTAGAAGAATCACCAAGTTGAAGGCCAGCCTCAGCAACTTAGGCCCTATCTCAAAGTTGGAAAAAAAAAAATTAAAAGGACTTAGGGGTATAGCTCAGTGGTAGAGCAACATCTGTATTCAATTTCCAATAACACACACACACACACACACACACACACACACATGCGTTCACCAGGATGACTGCCCACAAAGTTTAAAGCACAGATATGTCAGTCAAATAGTTTTTGGAGCTATCAAATCAGAAATAAGAGGGTGAGAGTGTACCTCTGGGGTAGATGCATGAGGTTCTGAGTTTAAACCCTAGCACCATAAACAAACAACTCCCCACCCCCGAAAGAAGCACACTCACAGTAAGAAAAAGGCTCCAATAAGGAGCCACATTCTGTTTACATTTTGTGATCCTCAGGCTTATTTTTAGTATAAAATATTGAAGATCATTCATTTATAGTTAGCCGAGGACAAGAGAACGTGAGGGAAAACATGCGTTTTTGCTATCAAAAACCATGCATTTTGCCAGGCATGGTGAGGCACACACAGGAAGCTGAGGCAGAAGGATCGAGAGTTCAGCAATTTAGTGTGGCCCTAAGCAACTCGGAGAGAACGTGTCTCTAAATAAAACACAAAAAAAGAGTTGGGGATGTGGCTCTGTGGTTAAGTGCCCCTGGGTCTGATCCCTGTACCAAAAAAAAAAAAAAAAAAAAATCATGCATTTTTTGTTATCAATTAGTTTTTAATAACTCATTAGCTTTGATGAAATACATCCCATTTAATCCAAAGTGAATTTTAAAAAGAGGTTAAAGTTATGTGAAGCTCTGCTAGTTTGGCAGGACTGGCCTGGCACCTAACCAGGAAAGGTAAAAAAAGGTCAAATGAGTTTCCCACTGTGGCCAGGAAGTGGTTTGTGTAAAAGCTGGATTGGAGGACTTATTTGGTGACTTCTCAGTCATTCAGCTGTGGCCAAACTGAAACCCCGAGATGTACCCCTGACACCCTGAGAGTGGAAGCCCGAGGAGCTGAACCCCCCAGAACATTCATTCCCTTCCCTGGGAGGTGGGCAGGAAGTCACACAGAAAGACAGACAGACCAAGTCATGTTCTAAGAGGCCAGTGCCTTAAGGAAATAAGATGTTAGGAGACCAGAGTTTTTCTATTTTTAAAACATTTTATATAACTCATAAAACAGTGCTTGTATAAAAATTCACACAAAGTTGCTAGAGAGCATACAATTTCCAAAAATGTCGTGGGTTTTTGTTACATTCAGTTTTCTAAAGATGCACTCAATTCAATGGTAATATGCAGACATTATGCGATATTTCATTATCTTTGGTAAAACTATTCTCATTATTTTGTCTCCTCACAGTATTAACTCTGATATCCGCTTTGTGCAGGGTCTGCTCTCACTAGGATGTCAGAAAACATTAAGGCTGGATCTACTAGAGGCAAATGTTCCCAACAGCAGGGACACCCCTGGCCCCCAACTCCACTTCAGAATCGTCACCACAGCCAGACAGGGCAAGAGCTCAGTGACCTCCAACCAGGGGTCTCAAGAACCCTTGGGGGGGGGAAGGTGGAAACTGAGGCCATCTCTACAGGAACCCAAGTGGCCATGCTGCGGTGTGGTCAGGCAGCAACGCTTACCAACTCTCACCATTTTAACAGCCAATCCAGTCACCACTAAGTAGATCCCATTGGTTGGTTGATAACTGCTGCTGATATGCCCCCTAACTTGAAAGGAAAGCAAGGTTTGGAGCCAACACTGAAGGGGGAGGGGCACACTAGCGCTAGTGACACAGACACCACTTGATTCCCTGTCAAACTTCTGTCGTCATGTAGACACGGCCATGTGAACTGAAGCAGGATCCGAACACTTAGTACATTCATGACTATCTTCATACATTCTTCAACAACTTACTAACAGAGAAAACCATGACCACTACCACCTACCGTGACTTACTATTTTACTTAACGTCAGAATGTGTCTGTGCTAATTCTTTAGTCCTTGGGATACAAGGCAGAAAATAATCCAAAACACAAACAAGTAAAAACCAAAGAATTAAGATGGGGAGAAGGATGGGGTGATGCCAACAGATTTTATGGAACACATTAAGTTCTGAAAAAATTAAGTATTTGTACTTCTATTGCTTCATGTTAAAAAAAAAAAAATGCCCACCGGAGCCACCTGTATGGATGCAGAAGTGAGGACACCATACAGACAGAACACAATCCAGGGGACAGGAAACGCTCCCAGAGTGTGTCCACCTCTCTTCACTGAAAGGGACTGTAGGATATTGGGGGTCGGGGGGTGAGTTACACAAGAAGGGTGTTATGGAAACCACCAAAATACAGTTTCCAAAAATTTAACATGCTCTAGGTAACAAAGAGACATATTTAATTTCTAGAACCTGTTGACTTCAATGTTAAGCAAACAGGAACTTTTCAAAAATTAACAATTGATTGTGCTTCTGAAGTTGCAGGGTCACATTCACCCTCTAGAAAGCAGGGCAATTTTCACATGGCTTGGAATCCTCTTGGATACATCCTAGAGACCAGAAAAAAATTCCATGGGACCCCCGCAACTAGTGGGGCCTGCAGGAGAGTGCCACAGCCATCTTTGGGTAGGGCGCATGCACGTGTGTATGTAGTGGAGAGACTAAGGCAGAAAGAAAAGCCCAAGTGAGCAGGGAAGTGAGTCTGCTGGCTGCCCCAGTTCCTTCACAGGCACAAAGGCAAACGAGTATTCACTGAGGTCCCCTTCATCTCACTTAAGTTTTCTAGTAAGGAGAAGTGTGTGTGTTTGCGTGTATGGGTGCGTGTGACAGAGTCACTAAGTCCCTGTGCATTTTTCAATTCCAAAAATTCAGGTTTGCAGTTTTAACAGAAATAATCTGTAAATGATACTGAAGAGTCATTTTTAAGTGGCTCAAAATTCTGTTATATAAACAAATGTCTACTGAGCGAAGGCAAAATTTATGTCATATAGCTACTGGAACTAAAGTTCTTAACTATATGAGGAAAATTCACAGGTTATTTCTATTATATCTGCATTTTAAGGTAGCAAAATATTAAACCATTAGGGTATTAAATCTGTAACCTCCCACAAGGCTTTATGACTATCCTGTGTGGGTCGATTTCCCAGGTCTCTGGTAAGATGCATCCAGTTTGGGTTAGACTGCTTCCTTTCTTTCTTCAGCATCTGGCCCCCAACATAGGGCAAGTAAAAGTTCTGTCTTTAAAGACATGACCGGCTGGGGAGTTTCCCAACTGGCGCCCCTAGAGAGCAAACTGCCGGCTTGGAGCAGTGTGACCTTCCCAATCAGTGGGGAGGGGAGAGATGCACACCTAGAAGATAGGGCATGGGCCAGGTTAAGATAGTAGAACCTTCTAGAGGACCCAAAGGGAAAGCTCTGAGTGGACCTGGGAAGGGACATGGGAGTCCCATTTGAGATGACCTGTGCCCTTTCAATATGGGGTATCCTCAAGAGGGCCCCAGGCCTGGGCCTGCCCAGAGGCATAAGGATGCCATGCTAACGGGAGGAGCTATTGCTGAGGTCTGGGGGAAGTCACCACACAGCTCCCAGACCTGCATTTTGTACAAATACCCGCACAGAAAGTAAACAGTTCTTGGTGAACTCAAAGAAGCCCACCCTTCAATCAAACAAGAAGCCAAATGCTCACACACATTATTTTCCAAGAAAATGAATCTGCCCCTCCAATTAGCACCCATGTGTGGAGAGGGAATAGGGGGCCATGGAAGGACACAGCTCAAATGGAGACATTGTGTGAATGTGTGTTTCCAGGTCTATCTACATTCATATCATCATCCAGTGTTCTCATCTACAGAGTGAGCACAGCATTCTACTGACGCGCAGCACATCTCCTTCCCGGGGACCACAGCAGAAGGAAAAACTTACACATCGTCAGAAAGGACTTCATGCTATCCCTATCATCACCTCTACCGCCATCCAAGGGGCATCGAGACTCCTCCAAAATCAGATGTCGGTAGACGAGGTCAGTAAAATCAGTCTCTATGCCACCTGAAGCTATGATTACCCATCATGCACAAACATGGCACTTCTAAAAAATTCATAAATCTCTGAATCATCTTTTAAAATCCCAGCAACTGAAATTATCTTACAGTACTTCATCTCAAATACTTAAAAAGATTTTCTAAGTAAAATGGCCCCCAAAGAGCCCAATGATTTTTTTTAAAAGGGGTTCATTTTAATTAAAAAAAGAAGAAAAAGTTAAAAATGGAAGATGAAAAGTGTGGGGAGAGGAACAGAAGCTGCTGAATTTGCATTTTGGATTGTGAGGGACAGGAAAGGGCACAATCAAGAAGAGAGGACCTACTCGGCTAGTCCCTCTGCTCACAGCCTGGCTCCTCCCAAACTCGGGCTGTGCCACCAGGGAATACAGGACAAAGTCAAGAGACCAAATTCAAGGCTGCTTTCTCATGGGTGGGTGAGTAGGTGTTTACGTGTGCAAATGTAGGAAGCCACTCCCCACTGACATAAGGTGCCTGTCTGTGGATACCATACACATGTTCCAAAGTGACTCCGTCCCAAGGGTGCCCATCGCTCAGCCTTTCATAACCCAAGTCTCTGGGCAGCCCACAGACCCGTCACTTCTCCACTTTCTTGGCTTTCTTGAGGATGTCGCATTTTTTCCTGTTGGGACGGCGACACCGCTCGTCGATGCTGGGGATACATTCATAATGCCACACCTCCTCCATCTTCTCCACGGGGTACACGGCCTCCACATAATGGCGGATGAGCCGCAGTCGCGTGGGGTCCAGCTGCTTCTTGTTGCAAGCCCCCGAATGGTTGTACTGCAGCCGCAGGTTCTCGGCGGTGAAGAGTTCGGGGAAGAGCCTGACGAGGAGCCGGGCGGCAAAGTTGCCCACGGAGAGGCTCTGCTGCACGATCTCGCGCACCTCCTTGTCCGACAGCAGGTAGGGAGAAGGCACCGGGAAGTCGGGTGAGGGGACCACCAGCTCGTCCAGGGGGATCTTGCAGAAGTCCTTGCTGCTCCTTTCGGGGGGCAAAGGGGGCCCCTCAAACTCCTCTCGGAACCTCTCGGGGTTGATTGCATAGCTTGCCAGGTCTCTGCACTCAGGGCCTGGCACGTGGACCTTGCGCTGCTGCTGGTAGGAGCGCCTCTGCTCCGTGTCCCGGCGCCTGCAGCGCTCGTCCAGCTTGCCCACGAACTCCAGAGTCCAGACGCGGTCATTTTTGGCCCGGGGGTAAAGCAGCTGCACGTAGTGGCGGATCAGCTTGATGCGGGCGGGGTCCAGCTGCTTCTTGCCCAGGGAGCCGCTGCAGTTGTACTGCTTGCGTAGGTTCTCGTGGGTGAAGAGCTCCGGGAAGAGGTGCACCAGCAGGCGGGAGGCGAAGTTGCCAATGGACAGGCTGCTCTCGTAGATGCTGCGCAGCTGCTCCTTGCTGAGCAGACAGTCGGCGCCTGGCACCTCGAAGTCCGGCTGCGGAATCTCCAGCTTGTCAAAGTCAATGGGCACTAGCCAGATCTTCTTGGAGCGCCTGCCCGGCCTCTCACCCTCGAAGCTGTCCTCCACCTTGACCACGGAGAGGTCATCGGGCAGGCTGGAGGAGTCGTAGCAGTCATCCCGCGGCGTCTCGCCCTCGCTGCCGCCCTCCAGCCCCAGGCCCTCCAACTCGTCGTTGATGCGCTGCGCGCACTGCTGCAGCCAGGCCTCCTCTTCCTGCATGTCGGGAAAGTAGATCTCCGTGTAGTTGCGGATGATCTGCAGCCTCTGCGGGTCCAGCTCCTGCTTGCCACCGTCGCCATAGCAGCTGTACTGCTCGCCCAGCTTCCGGTGGTCGAAGAGCTCGGGGAAGACCCGGTGGAGGAGGAAGACGGCGAACTCACCCGGCGAAGAGGCTTCATCCAGAAACTCGGTGAGGTCCTGCGTGTCCACCACGTGATCTGAGGCGATGGTGCTGCTGCGGTCCAGAGACAGGGCCTCCTCCTGGTCCTTGCTGTCCAGGAAGTGGCCGGCGTCCACCTGCTCAGTTTCAAAGAAGCTGGTGACCTGGCCTCCTGGCTGGCTGTCCTCCATTTCCCGCTGGGCCCAGAAGCGGCTGAAGAAGTCGTTCAGCTGCGGCAAGCACTCAGCCTGCCACACAGCAGTGTCTTTCACTGAGGGGTAGTAGACTTCCACGTAGTTGCGGATGAGCTGCAGGTGCAGCGACTCCAGCTTCCGCTTGGCTGCAAAGCCGCAAGCGCTGCAGCCGCGGGAGAAGTCCACGTCGCTGAAGAGCTCGGGGAAGAGCTGTACCAGCAGACGGCAGGCTAGGTCCCCGCCTGATAGGCTCTGGTCCACAATCTGCTTGAGCTCAGCAGCGGTGAGCTGGTACTCGGGGGGTGGCTGGAATTTGGCCACCAGCTCGGAGGGGCTCACCTGCTTCTTGATGCGGCTCACTTCCAGGGAGAGCAAGTCCATCTTGCTGTGCAGCTGGGACATGTTGGAAGTGAGAGTGTTGAGCATGTAGAACATCTTCTGGATCAGAAAGTAGATGTTGGGGTCGCCGTCAGTGGCTGTTCCTGATGCCCCGCCACAGTCCCGTTTCTGAGGGTCGTTCAGCAGGCGCAGAGGGGAGGGACTGTTGCTGGCGTTGGCCTTCTCGAAGAGCTCATAGGTGTTGAGCAGGTCCCCCACGGGAGGGTTCTTCTTCTCCATGATCTTGTGCGAAATGCCATAGAGAGGCTTCTTGTAGGAAGGGGTGGTGGCATCGTTGCAGGGCTCCTCCTCCCCCGGCCACACGGAGCCCACATTCCTGCCTCGGCCGGCCTGCTCTCCATTGCCCTGGCAGGGCGAGCTGTTTTCGCGGTTCCGCATGCCTGCGAGGAGTGCCTGGAAAACAGAAAGCGTTTCCTAGAGTGTTAGGCAGGTGCTCTGACTTACTAGGCTGGACTCAGGCCAGCCACCGGGTCTGCTATGGTCAATGCTCCCCTCCCCCAACCATTAACACACAACAGTAACACAACTGCATGCCAGGGCCAAACCTGCTTGTTCTCTCCAATCCCTGAGAAAGGGCTCAGGCTGGAAGGTGCACACTCCTTCGGGACATCAGTGCTGCACTTCCTGTCCACAGGGCCCAACAGGAGAAAGAGCACGGATGCTGGCAAGGCCAGAAGAGGACTCTTCAAGGGATGGGGGGGGAGAACTTGGGAATGAGGATCTCCAAAGATCCCAATAATTGAGCTGCATCACCACTTGGGAACCCAAAGTTCCTACTATTTTTCTCAGTGGTTTTTAGACTCTAGAAGTTTTAAGAGATCTGCTTCTCTCTGTTTGTAGGACTAGTGATTTGTTACAAAGATTCAAAGGCAATTTGGTGGAGAAAGGATAGTCTTTTCAACAAATGATCCTGGGCTGGGGATGTGGCTCAAGCGGCAGCGGGTTCGATCCTCAGCACCACATACAAACAAAGATGTTGTGTCTGTCGAAAACTAAAAAATAATAAATAAAAATCTCTCTCTTTAAAAAAAAAAAAAAATGATCCTGAATAATCTGATATCCACATGTAAAAAGAATATCAATTTTAATTTGAGCCTCAGACTATGCACAAAATTAACTCGAAATGGATCATGAACCTAAATTAAAAACCTAGAATTCTAACATTCCTAGAAGAAAATTTATGAAAATTCCTTTGTGACCAGTTGTTTTAGACCAATATTTTTAGAACACCAAAAGCACAATCCATAAGAGAACTGATGCACAGGACTTCAGCAAAAATAAAAACTTTTGCCCTTTAAAAAATACTTCAAAAAAATTTTAAGACTGGGCTGGGGCTGTAGCTACGTGGTAGAGCACTTGCCTTGCACATGTGAGGCACTGGGCTCAATCCTCCCCACCACATAAAAGAGGGAGGGAGGGAGGGAGGGAGGGAAGGAAGGAAGGAAGGAAGGAAGGAAGGAAGGAAGGAAGGAAGGAAGATTTCATTCTCCCCCACCAAAATACTTTTTAATAATTTAAAAACTACAAACAGCTGGGAGCCATAGCACACATCTGTAATCTTAGCGATTTGGGAGGCTGAGGCAGGAGGATGCAAATTCAAGGCCAGACTTGGTATAATTAAAAAGGCAATACCAAGTGCTGCAGATGATGGAAGGAAATGAAGCTCTCATACCCTGCTGATGGGGACAGCATGATATAACCACTTTGAAAAATAGTTTAGCAGTTTCTAAAAAAGTTAGCATTAGATGTACCATATAAACTAGGTATTCCATTCTTCAGTATCTGTTTACCAAGAAGAATAAAAAGCACATATCCACATGAAGACCTGTACACAGGTATTCCAGGCAGTCCTATCTGCAAATAGATAAAAACTGGATACCACCCAACTTTTTATCAACAAGTATATAAATAAACTATTATATTCATACAATAATAGAATACTATTCAGCAATAAAAAGCAATAAACTGACCTGTATAGTAGACAGAGTAGTTAGAACAGATCTCAAAATAACTATGCTAAATGAAAGAAACCACAAACAAAAGAAACCATACCATATGATTCCATTTATATAAGATTCTAGAAAGTACAAACTTACCTATAGTAATAGAAAGCAGAACAGTGGTTGCCTAAGGGTGGCAGGAAAGATACAAAGGGACATGAAAGAACTTCAATAGGCGATGGATATAATTATAATTATTATCTTATTGAGGTGATGGTGTACTGGCACACTATACACATGTCAAAACTTATCAAATTGAATACTTTAAAAGGTACTAGTCGTACTTCAGCTATGTTTCCTAATAAACCTATTTTTTTTTCCACAAATGCTGAATTTGACCCAGAAACTTACTGGAATGTTTGTGAGGGTTTAATTAAGCAGGAGAGCTAATTAGTGAGCACTGGTAGGTGTCAGGCGAGGTGCAGGACTGAAGCACAAAGCCCAGGCTTCCACAAGCCTCAGGCAAGTGGAGACTGGACAAGAACAAAGTGCACCCTAGGATGCTACTTCCACACCTGGGAAAAATACAGTTAGTGTGGCCTAGCCCAGTGCGCCTTCAATTCTAATATCCACATGAATCACCTGGGTTCCTGTTAGAATACAGACTGAAATCTCTGGGTCTGCTGTGAGGCACTGAGGCTCAAATTAAAATTGATATTCTTTTTACATATGGATATATGCTCCCAGGTACTGTGGGTCCTCTGGGAGTGGTAAGAGCCTGGCAGACAGTGTCTGCCCGCGGTTCACCTCACCCAGGAAGATTAGAGTCACTTTCAAGTGTTCAGGTAACTAATGCCCACACAAATCTGAACATAAGGTGTTTTCTCTGTAGCCTAACCAAATGTTGGGGAAAGAGACAAGCTGAGGAGGTGGGGTTTATAATGGCAGGGAAGCAATTTAGCCAGGAGAGCAGGGGACCCGGGGCAAAACAGACCACAGGGTCACACAACAAGAATTTGAGTCTTCTGAACTCTTACACTTTGGTTCTCACTTAAATTAATGAACTACTTCCTGGATCTGCTTTTATCTTTTTGTTTTATTTTGCTATGTTGCCCAGGCTGGCCTTGAACTTTCCATCATCCTGCCTCAGGCTCCTTAGTAGCTGGGATTACAGTTCTAAGCTACCATGCCCAGCTCTGGACACTCTCTTTAAAAAAAAAATTTTTTTTTTGGACATTCATTTAGATAAAACAATCATCTGACTCACAGTAAAGAAAGGCTGTTTTCTTCACTGATTACAATCATTCCAAATAAAGTCTACTACACTCCCTTAGGAATCTGAACATGAAAGGATTCTCAAAAGTGTTTTAACTATTCCAAGGAACTGGCCAATACTTTCTTCATGGTGGATCTGTAGAGGCTAAGGAAGGGTCGGTACCATCCATCCCACATGATCTTTCTGCACACACACCCCCTTCCCAAGAGCAGAGGGCTAGGGACATACTTGGATGGAGGGAGCCTGGCATGGGTGGCCTGCAACCCATCCTGCTCCCTCCTGTAGTCACCTCCTCCTCATGGGAAAGCGTGAAGGGACCATGTCATTCTTGGTCTATCTGCACTGCCTAGCAAAGTGCCCAGGGCACAGAAGAGGTCACTGAATGTCAACCACAGACAGGGTTGGCTAAAGTAGGACATGGTGTTCTACCTCTCTCAAATACCTGTTTAAGGAAAGGAACACTGGGGGCCAGGGTAGAGCTCAGTAGTAGAGCATCTGCCTAGCATACCAGAAGGCTTTGGGTTCCAACCCCAATACTGCAATAATAATAATAATAATAATAATAATAATAATAATAATAATAAAAACAGTGCCACTGGTTTCATGAAACCATGATAGTAAAGAGGTATGAAGGTTTGGACAGGAGCTCAGCTCAATTTTTACGTTGTCCTCTGTGTCTCCTTTCATGTCTCAACTTCTTATGTGTATCTGTCTTAGAAGGTAGTAAGGGCTTTAAAATGAAACACTGCCCATCAGCACTGAGCCCAAGGCTGGGTCACAGTAAGTGCTTAACAAATATCTATCACTACAATAGAATTATAATGGGGGGGGGAAGGTATTGGGAACTAATTCTCAGTACTTTACCACTGAGCTATGTCCTCAGTCCCTTTTATTTTTTATTTTGAGACAGGGTCTTATTAAGTTGCTGAGGCTGGTCTTGAACTTGTGATACTCCCACCTCAGCCTCCCCCTAGTCCCTGGTACAATGGGATTACTATTAAACAATGCTATTCATAAGCCACAGCAGAGGTGTGTAACACTGTGGGCCTTTTGTTAATTGGTAAAGGTTCCTCTCAACCAGTCACCAGAGGACTTCCCTAGTGCACTCAGTGTCAAGCTCTTACTGAAGGCACTTCCCTTCTTCCCTTCTCCTGAGGTCTGTTTCCCGGGAGGGCTGGGAAGTGGTGACATACCTGGCAACTGAGCTGAGAGGGGAGTTTAAATTCTTTACAATTCTTTTGTGCTGCTATCTGTCAGAAAGCAGAGAATTATTATTTAAAAAAAAAAAAAGGCCAGACATGATGACAAGCACCTGAAGTCTCAGCGGCTAGGGAGACTGAGGCAGGAGGATCACTTGAGACCAGTCCAGGCAATGCAGTGCTCATCTCAAAAAAAAAAAAAAAAAGAAAAGAAAGGAGAAGGAAAAACAGCAAAAAAAAAAAAAAAAAAAAACAAACCCACATATACCCCAGAAACAAGAAGAGGCCAAGAGAGCTAAAAAGCTTTACTCATAATGCAATGTGGGTTTGTTTGTTTGTTTGTTTGTACTGGGGATTGAACCCAGGGGCACTTAATTGCTGAGCCACATCCCCAGCCCTTTCTTTTTCTTTTCTTCTCTCTCTCTCTCTCTCTCTCTCTCTTTTTTTTTTTTTTTTTTACTTTGAGCAGGGTCTCACTAAGTTGCTGAGGCTGGCCTCAAACTTGCAATCCTCCTGCCTCAGGCTCCTGAGTTGCTGGGGTTACAGGCATACATCACCATGCCCAGCTTACAATGGGTTTTGAATTGTGGGTTGGTATATAATAAAATCGATCTGGTGAAGTCATGACTAGCATAAGAAAGAGAGAGCAAAGAAGTAAAAACATTAAAGGGAAGAAGAAAAAAAAAAAGTACTATAGGAAAACAGTACATTGTACAAAGTTTTACTTCATTTCTCTGTGTGTATCTATACATTTACATACAAATACATGTGAGCTGTACTACTCTGAAACTGGATTTATAACTATGGGTACTGCTGAAAAGCACTGCCCTAACAAAATCAGAGTTGTCCTTCTTGCTAACTTTTGTAGACAAAATTAGATTTGCAATTGTTCACGATAGGTTCTATCACATCAAAATAATTTTGGAGGTTCTGTGGATTATGAGATTATGATGTGGTTTTACCAATATAGAGGATCTG